GAAAATATTACAATGGGATGAAAACAGAGGCAATTTTTCATTGGACGTTCTGTGTATCGTCAACAAAAAACATTGTGAATCATATCGTTGAATGCATCAGTGCTCATCCTCACATCTTCAAAGAGATATTTTTGAGATAGACTTTGAAGAGGTCGTCCACTGAGCTGCACACCTCCGTCTCCCCCTCCCACCTCCACCACCTCAACGTCAGACTGTTCTCATCTGCTCCACCTTGGCACAAAACCCAAAGTCTGACACAGGTTCTTGCCGTGACAATGAGACCCAGAGGGTCTTGACCCCGATGTGGTCTCAGTCTCAGTGAAGAACCAAAGACCTGGTGCAGGTTCTATCAAAGACAGGAAGACAGGTTTGGAACCTGTGCAACTTTTTTTTTTCTTATATAAATGAACTTCATTGATTCCACACTGGGGGAATTCTGGTGTTCACAGCAAATCTGCTGACACAGGAGGCGCCAAGTATGTGCTCCCTCTGGGAATTGAACCCAGGACTCTCTGCTCTCTGCTTGACAGGCAGGCCTGCCCCCAGAGGAGGTGAATTTGTTTTCTTCTTCTTCTTCTTTTTTTAATTCCATGATGAAGTGAATCCAAAGTGGATTCTGATACAATACCTCCTGATCTACTTCAAAGATGGAGTAACTCTTTATGTANGGGTGTTGCTTTGATTGTTTGCTGTTGGTTTGGATTTATGTACGACAGTTAAAACGGCAGATGAGTCTGGAGCCAAACGTCGACCTCGTAACGAGGTCCTGGTGGATGAGCTCAGCGTGTCATATGTTCACATCCATCACAGTAGGTTGGCATGAGATGAAGGGCCTGTAGGGGGCTCTCCATGACTTTGATTTCTAAAAAACAGAGGCCTGGCTCATCATACTCATCAGCACATTCATCAGCAGTTCACCGCTGGCTAATTGTTGCCACCACTGGTTCACTGCTGGTATTGCGACTCACCAGGTGTACCATGTACACCATCGTTTGGTTTAAAAAAAAAATTGTAAAGTGAACTAAAGGAAATCGTGAATCCTATCGTATCGTTTCATCCCTAAATACGAGTGAATGTTGTTCTGATGAGAACGTGTACAGAGATGTTCTTACCAGGCTGAAGTCCCACTGTGGTCCAGGAGTCAGAAAGGCCAGGGAGCCTCCTCGTCGCAGTGACCTGAAAAAAAAAAAAACATAAACCAAACTAAGTTTTGTCCAGACCAACATGCAGTACCAATCAGTTCCACCAGGGCTTTGAACCCAGACGCAAAACTTTTATGCAACAAAGTGGGATCAAGCAGGTACCCCCCCTCCCAGGACCAGGACCAGGACCAGGACCTGGACCCCAGCCACTGAACAGGGGGGTCTTTTATACCAGGCCTCTCCTCCGACCGGAGTCATTTTCTTCTCCCTCTTGTCCTTTTTTGGACTACAAAGACAAACGGTGAAGAGTTCCAGTCCAGGTCTCTGATACCAGGAACTCGGCTGGTGAAGACCTTGGACCTGGGTCTGCAGAACCACTCAACGCTGAAATAAACGACTGCTCTACGATTGCTCGGAGCGCTCTCCCACTGAAGAGCGATGTCACTGAAGAATCAGGTTAAATCATGGGTTCGTCTCCCACACTGCCCTACATGGTCCGGTCCCTGAGGGACCAGTGATCCTGGCAGATACATCACAACAGGCCTTGACACAGAACCAAAACACAGAGGCGGCTGCTTCCTGTTACACAGCAGCTCTTATTATTATTACTATTATTATTATTATTATTATTATTGTTATTATCATCATCAAGGACTGGAACAGGACACAGTGATAACACGACAGAGAAGCTGCATTAACATGTTTAAACACTAGGAGGGGCTGGAACCAGTGTTCTGGACAAATCTAAAAAGATTTAGTAAGATAACGATCCAGGTTTATATTTACACAGATTATTCTCAACAAAACATTTTTTTATTATTAATTAGTTGATGAATCACCATCTTTTTTTGGTCCGGTCTTCAGGTTTAAGGTGGACATTTTACTGCGTCCCACCTGGTTCACCTTTGACCTTTTTCTTTTCAAAGCTAGTGAACCAGACACGGTCCGTTTTATTGGTAAATTCAAGAATATTAATTCAACTCAGGCCCAGTCACAGCTGGGACCATCTGTGGCTGTCTCATGGTCCGGACCGTGGTCCACGATCCAGATGTTTGGTTTTTGAAAACATGATTATTTATTTATTTATTTTATTATTTGTTTTTAATTTTAGATATGTTTTATAAATAAAATTGGATTTGGTGGGTTTTTAATGTCTGGGGGAAAAAATTGTCGAATCCATTGATTTCGGACGCAGCAGTTGATCAATAATTTGAAAAGTGAAACCATTTTGTCAGCGTGCTGACGTTACAATCCTAAGTCACAGTGTGTCTGACAGGTGACGTGTTGGGAAACAGTGTCACCACGCTGTACGATAATCTACGACGTGTTTGAGGTACCACCGCCGTTAGCGTGCGGAGAATGCTGCGCTGCCCAGAAACACTTGTTCAGCGTGTGTGTCCGACAAGTGTGTGTGCTGCTGCCAACGTGGAACCATTCCAGTCATTCTGCTGCTCAGGTTCCACAGCAACTGTCCTCAGACGGCCGTGCAGGCCGCTGCGCCACCCACTGACCCACTGTTGTATCAACAACTATCTGTATATTTGCTTCCATCGAACAACACTACGGAGTGTGTTTGACCATCTCATCAAACACACACACACAACATTCTCAGAACTCTTGGTTTCCCAAAAATATGTGGCCCTTCCTGTGGGCTGGAAGTGGAATTCCTGCAGGGACCACCCATGCTGGGAACGTTAGCCCTGACGCTGCAGAGATGCGTCCTACATGGGCAGCATGTGTCGTGAGACAACCCGCCTGGGTGTCCTACAGCAGGTGAGGGGTCAAAGGTCACTGCAGGTGCTGTTTGGACATGTCGAAGCACCAGCTCTGCAGACAGCACCTGCTGGACTGTCTTCAACCCCAGAAAAATCATCGTCCTTCTGCAGCGCCTCCGTGTACCCTCCAGGGACCACGGACCACTTGTTGATGACCTTGATTATAACTGAATATTAAACTGTTGGTCACGTAGCCAACGTGCACGGATGTGTTCACGACGAAACACAATGACATCAAATCATCAGTATGAGAGAGAACAGCACAGTGATCATCAACTGGTGGCCCGCGGGCCAAACCTGGCCCAACACTCCAAAAAAAAAACATCAAATAACAACGTTAGACAAAACCTTTTTTTTTTAATTTCATTTTATTCACATGTCCGACCCACAAATTGTCCAACAAATATATGTGGTGACCCCCTGATGTAGCAGTATTACTGTGTACTACTGCAGTACCCCGTTAATCCTCTAAGGTTTCTGTGCTCAGGACGTGTTTTGGTCGGTTAGTGTTACCTTGTTGTTGTCTCTCATTCTCTAACGCTGCGGTTCTACGTTCTGATTCTCACGTTTATTTTTACCCGTGTAAACAACGGTGACATCATCCGGCGACCCCTGCAGCTCCAATCACTGGCAGCCAAAGTGTGTCACGCCAACGGTTTTGTCTTCATTCAAAGTGTCGGTGAATGAGTGAGCGGAACCGAATCCCTGCTCGATTTTTGTCAACCGCCCGTAGAGACATGAGCAACGAGTGACACGACGTTCTCTTTGGAGAACCTGGGGTTCTGTCACGTACACTGGAGATCGCATTACGCGTCTTTGTGTGAAGTTCTGTGAAACTGAAGTCATCGTCACATCTCCTGGATCTCTGGGGGGAGACGGGGGAGACGGGGGAGGGAGGAGGAGTTCCTGCTGCCATTGAAAACTGTGAGCACATGCTTACATCACTGTGGTTGCGTGCGATTTTTAAACATAGCCTAAATCAAACAAAGGGAATCAGTTCACCGACCCACAAACAGGTGGCGCTGTGCACGCACGGTGACGCCACGATGCGTCCCTCTGAGGGGAAGTCACTTCTTTGGTTCAGTTACGGTAATTTGTGTTTGTCATCATTGAGCTATCAGCATCTCTGTAAGGCCTCTAGGTGGTGCTAAATACACGTGTTCAATGATCTAAACACACGGTTGTGGTGCATTTGTTTATAAACACTGAAGTAATGCAGATGATCAAAGACGCCTAGCGTGAATCATGCTATCAATGCGCTAGCACTAAACCTTTTAGCTGCATGCTAGCACTACGTCTTCACTTCTTTGAAGCTTGTGAGTAGCATTACTGCCATCTGCTGGATTGGCCACATAGAAAGAATACTTTTCTTTATGTTTTATTACTTTATGTTACTCTGCAGGGGATTTTACTTTGAAAAATCACTTGACAGTTATTTAGTTGATGGTTGACCGTTGATGATGAGCACGAACACAGGGTCAGGGGTCAAACTGACGTGATCCTGTTAATCAGTACCACCACAACAACAACAACAAAAAATCACAAGGGAGAGCGGTGATGTGTGTCATTTCTTGTGTAAAACGATCATGTTGCTGAACTCCCGTGTGTGTCATCCAACTACACACACACACACACACAGTGTGTATTCTTTCTACTGTCAGCCAGTGGCACAAAGGACTTTGTGCCCCGTACCTGGGAGTTCAGCTCATGAGTCAGTGCGTTAGCATTCCAGCCTGACCTGCCTTTGTTTGTGAAACTGACTTCACTGCGAAGTCAACTTCTGACCCCACCTGTACACAAACATCCTTCCTGTGCTGATGCCTAAAAGCTAAACTCACTCAAGTTTCAATGAAGCCGAACCGAAACAAAAGGATTCAAAAACGTCTGGCTGCAGATAAACTACAGTTTATCACGAAAAACGTTAAGGCACCAACCGTGTTCCCTGTGGTGCTACGTTAGCTGGTGTAAAGTAAACTACGTAAAGTTCATGCTTTACTTCACCAGTTGTATTAATTAGCTTCTGGTTGGAGATACTAGTCCAGACCAGTAGAGGGACCATCACATCAACTCAACATATCTGTATAGACAACAGCGCCACCTACATGTCCACCTGAGAACATGTAATTTTAACTGTGAGCACATTGTTACATCACAGTCGTTGCTGTGATGTAACAATGTAACAAGGTGATTTTTTTAACTGTAGCTTAAATTAAACAAAGGGAATCAGTTCACCGACCAAAAAACAGGTGGCGCTGTGCACACGCGGTGACGCGACAGTTCATCCCTCTGAGGGGAAGTCACGGCGGAACTTGTTTGGTTCAGTTACGGTACTTTGTGTTTGTCAGCATCTCTGTAAGGCCTCTAGGTGGTGCAATGTACTGACTTTCTGAATGATTTCAGAGCTGACGAGGTACTGAGAATACTTCACACTTCTACTCTCTAATTCCGACTACTTCCATCAGACGTGGTGTGTCACCATCAGGCTTCAGGTGGAAAAACAAACCCAGGATGTGGCGTTCACAGACTCTGATGTTTGTCATTGTTTACATTTAAACAAGCTCCTTAAAAAAGGAATAAAAACAAAACTCAAAACAAAAAAAAATTATATTAGATTAGACAAAACAAAAATGTGAGTCTCGTTTGGGAACACAAGCCTTTTTTTCTTGATCCCGTGTCTTTGTTTATACATTTGTGCTATTATGGTCAAATATTGTGTGAGGATTTTTCCATGTTTGTCTCGTGACTCGGCCGGGCACCGAGCAGGGCTGGGCCACTTTGGCACACACTGTGGAAATCCTTTCAGGCTTTATTTGATTTTTATTATTATTATTATTAAAATTAATATTATTATACAAGAACGTGGTGTTTTTTTTAGCTAACGAGCAGAGCAGGAGCCAAACTCTGGTTTCATTTACTTAAAAGAACGTAGGAACAACCTTCAAACTGGAGCCAAGCAGCTGAAAAGTACTTTATATATTTCCTGGATACTTTGTCAAGTTTTAAATGTTTTTTTTTTAATCTGAATTATTACCACCTCATTAGTTTGAGATGAGTTACACTTATATGTTTAAGAAGGTATTTAGTAAATAAACCGCAGAATTCCAAAGCATTTACAACACAATACTTTGTGTTGTACACACTGTCTTGTAGTACTGATAATACCATATACTGATTGATATTTATTTACTTCTATGTCATCTATGACAGTGACAGGCAGGAGAGTTGAAACACTCTTCCACCAGGTGGCAGCAGGTGGCTTCATAAACTAAAAAAGACCAAGAGATCAGTTTAAGATCTTCATGTGTGTCTTTCTTCAATTCCTGCCAGTATATCAGTGTTGTGTTCAACTAAATAGGCCCGTGTACCTAGCCTCAGTGCAGGCTAGGCCACCATGCAGTAGGTTTGTTCAGGCACTCCTACTTCCGCCTATATAAATGTCGCAACGGACTTTGATCAGTGCGACAGTTTACAGTGGAAGCAGATGATCTTACTGCTGTTACAGTGGGCGGACAAAACCTGAGGAAACCTGAGGGTGGGAAATGTTGGGCCACAAACCGAGTGAATCATGTGTCACTTTTGAAAGACAGCTACAGAGGTGGAGATATCGCCCGAGGAAATCTATTTCATCCTTATGTCATCTTAAAGACAAAAGGAGTTCAAAGGAAAGAGTTGTCCTTCCCAAAAATTAATATATTTATCAAACTACAAGCTACAGTGGTTTTTAGACAGTATAAAAATAAAAAATATGAAACTAGTTAATAAAAGATTGCTAAAAATTATATGCCAAAAAAACATAAATATTAAAGCGAATCCACTGCTGTCTTTATTCTGGTACTTTGCTTTCAGTTCTTTTTTGTCTTAAATAATTAGTATACAGTAATAACACATATTACAGTTTTTTGGGGGGGAAATTCTGAACAAAAACCTGTTATTGGCAACAGTGTTTTAAAAGAAATTAAAATACAATGTTTCCAATTTTTTTGGTGAGTTTCAAAGAACTCATGTGTGAAAACAGAACCTCATTTTTGTTTTATTTATATTGTTTAATATTATTATATTATTATTATATTTTTATATAGTTTTCTTAAAACATTTTAAATGTATTCCAATTACGTCATATAGTTTATGTAACAATCGGTGTGAACGCAAGAGGGAATGAATGGTGTAGGATAGATAAGTCTAATTTTATCAAAGCCTTCGCTGCCATCTGGTGGCAGAACAGCGAACTTTTACATTTAAAACGGTTCGAACTATGTCTAATCCCTGTTGTTTTTTAATGTCTACGTGACTCTTTCTTAATTAATAAAAAAAAACCTCATAGCAGGAATTACCCCCCATTGACCGCTTGCTTCTTAAAGGTGGACTCACCGCCGCAGATTCGTGCTGTTATTCCCCGGGGGAGAGTCCTCGTCAGCGGCTAACTTCCTCTTCACTTTCCTGAAGCTCGGTTGACGTTGCAGTTTTTCTGAACATGTCGCCACAATTTGGATTTTACCGGGTTCGGCCATTCGAAAAACAACGTCACGGTGCAGCACAGTTTATATATTTTTGCACGGGTTTAAAGAGAATAATGACAACCAAAAAACTAGCCTAGAGCAGCAGACTGTTTGAATGTGGCGGAAATCCCAAAATTGTCCAATGGGAGAAGAGCTGACGACGGGAGGGGCGGGTTTTCCTGTCAGAGCTCAACCGAGGTTGCCATTAAAAATCATATTTAACAATAACTCACCACAACCATAAACGGGAAAGAACTGTCGTGAAAAGAGTCCGTTTAAAGATGTCCTGTCGTTTAACATTCGTATCATTTATATAAATACACTGTTGAGCACAAAACTATTTATTATTATTATTATTTAACATTAGTGCTTTCACAGAAACGTTATTTGTAGCACATCCATTTTAAACGTTCTAGCGTTATATCAGAATTCTAAATTATTAAATTAAATTAAGTTTCATAATTGACAACAATAATAATCATGGTTATTGTTAGTGTTAAAAATATTTTTTAGTCATGCCTTGCATTACATAATTCACAAAAAATTCGAGGGCTGCCATGAAACATGCTGAAAACCAGCTGAACATACTACATTACTACTACTACTACTACAGTACTACTACTACTAAAAATAATAATAATAATAATGACAGTTTTTATTTGAAGGTGCACATATACGCTGACTGAAACAAAACAAAAAACAGGCAAAACAGTAGGACTGTGGTAAATCCAAATCATAAAGAATAAGTTCATTACCAAAGAGGAAAGATCTGAGTTTTGTTTTGAAGAGACAGTTTTGGTGATGAGCTCCACTAGGACATCAGAAGAAACAATGAGATGTGGAGACGTGATTGGCTGAGTGTCATGAACTACGACCTTCACACACAGTGAACTGGTCACGTTAGTTAAAAAGTGCACTTTATAAAATCACTTTGAAAGCACTTCAAAAAAATTAAATTTCTTAATAATAAAACTAATAAAACTGTCTCCTGGTTTGGTTCCTAGTGTTATCTTCAACTTCATGACGTTAAGTCAGTGATTCCCGACCACTGTGCCGTGGAAAATTATCCAATTTCACTTAAATGGTCTGAAAAAAATATGATTAATGTACTGCATAGTTTTTCTTTGTCAGTGTGACAGGCAGATCAAATAAATACTCGTCCACTAGGTGGCAGCAAATGGCTATGAAAACAAGGAAAAAAGAATCAGCGCTGTTGAAGATCTTTCTTCAATTCCTGTGAGTATATCAATGTTGTCTTCAACTAAACAGACTTTTTATATTTTTTTTATACTTTTTATGTTTTTATATTTTATTACATAAACACTGGTGGTGAGCTGTGGGGTTTTTCCTGATGAAAAAAACGTTGGGAAACGCTGCTTTAAGTCAAATGGGAACGCGGTTTTACAGCACAGGTGTGACGTCTGCAGATGAACAACAGTGTTCTTGGCCAGGTGTGTTTATTACATTGACTCTCAGACAAATGTCAGTTGTTGTTTTTCACGTCAGCATGTCCCCAAAAGACACAGTTAGGACGGTCACTGTCCAGGCCAGGACGCCCTGAGGTGGAGGAGGATTAACACGTCACACGGTGCCAGGCAGAACACGCCCATTTCATTGAGCGCAGACACGGCGGCGGGAACATCGGCGCCGACCCAGTCCCTGGTCTCCTCCTCCGACTCTCTCAGCAGGTCCCTCAGCAGGATAGCTGAGCCCAGGTTGAGACACAGGATGATACAGGACTCCTTCACACTGTGGACAGACAGAGTCGTCAGAGTCTGTAGATTAGATTAGATTTCTATGTAATCTAATCTAGTCTAAATTACAATAAATTAGCTTGGATTGGACTGGTCAAGATTAGATCAGATTGGAAAGGATTGGATTGGATTGGATTAGATTAGATTAGATTAAACAAAATTAGACTAGATTAGACTAGACTAGATCTGCTTGGATTGGACTGGTCAAGATTAGAATGTATTGGATTAGATTATATTAGATTAGACAAAATTAGACTAGATTAGACTAAAACAGGGTACACACTGAGTCAAAATATTCTTAAATAAATTGCTTAAATAGACTATACACTTATTTAACTATATTTTTTGCAAATTGTTAAGTTGTATATGGGTTCCTAAGGCAGTCTAACACTGATAAACACACACACACACACACACACACACACACTGACTCACTGCTTGAAGAAGTTCTCTGGTCTTTTGCAGTAGTGTCCAAACAGAGGGAACAGGTTCCTGGTCATGTCAAACTGCAGCTGTGAAGCTCCGCCTTCACTGAAATGATTGGACAGGATGACCTGACAGAGAGACACATGGACACATTCAGAACAATTAAAAATATAAACATATTATTCCTGGCATTTCTCCATATTGATAATTTCATCATGTCATATTTCACACACACACAGAGTCAGAGTCAGAGACAGGGTCAGGGTCAGGGTCAGGGTCAGAGACAGTCTGACTGTGGACGTCTTACATCCTGGTAGAGGAAGTGGTCCAGTCTGTCTGCCAGGCCCTGCCAGGCCAGCTGGAACAGGGAAAGACTCAGGACCTGGTGCAGGTTCAGGAGTTTGTCCCTCACACACAGCATCATTGGACAGGCGGAGCTGGACAGGGACATGGTGGACAGGTCCTGCTGGGACGGCACTGACAGCCACCTGAGGAGAAGAAGACTGACGTTGACCAAACTGTTTGGGTCCTGTCTGGACGTTCCCATGATGCATCACCACAGACGTCTACCACCTGAGCAGACCCCTCTAACAACAACAACAGCCTGTATGCAGTTCTGATGGCTCACCTGTCCTGACAGTATGGTTTGGCCTTGGCAGTGATGTCCCTCATGGTCCACTCCAGCTGTCTGCCCATCATGTCTCCCTTCAGCCGATCCAGCAACGCTAACAAGCCTTCGAACAGCGAGCCCTCCAGGGAGGCCAGGCGGCCCACCTCCATCACCCCCAGGTCTCCCAGCACCGTCTCGTCTCCGATAGACACCAGCGCCTGCTGCAGCTGCAGGAAAAACTGGGGGAAGAAGAGGATGGGTGAGAAAAAGAGATGGGTGAGAAAAAGAGATGGGTGAGAAAAAGAGATGGGTGAGAAAAAAAGATGGGTGAGAAAAAAGATGGGTGAGTAAAAAAACAATAAGGGAACACTTGTACATTTTTCTTGATATTTTTCCATATGAATAATTACATCATTAGGATTATCATGATTAATCACGATTAATTGTGATTAATCAGATGTGAACTGATTGACCACCGTGTCAATTCTGAAATGTATAAATGAAATACTTCTCACCACGTTGTCCCCCCAGTCGGTCAGGATGGTGGAGATGTAGTGGACGGCGTTGAGGATGGCACAGTAACGTGCACCGAGGGGACTGCGAGACTCCTCTTTCATCACCTGAACAGAACGTGATGAAGGGGGGGGGGGGTCAGTTAAATTGTTGGTACTACAGTAAAAATCAGATGAAGATGATTGGTTAGAGATGAGTGATGTCATCAGTGGCAGGATTAAATAAGAGACCTTCAAAGTGTTGGCTGGGATTAGAGCTTCAAAGGTCTGAACGTCAGTCAGTGGTCATTACCTGGGTCGGTCAGTGGTCATTACCTGGGTCGGTCAGTGGTCATTACCTGGGTCAGTCGTATACGAAAATCGTCCACCAGTTCCTTCTGTAGTCCCAGGAACTTCAGCTGTGCAGACGGACAGGGCAGAGCACGATATCGCTCTGAAAAACAGCATCGTAAGAAAGAAGAAAAGAATCTTAAGATCACGACGACCCGACACAGAAGGACGAGACAACATGTAGAGCAGGGGCTCGAACCGGTGACCTTTTAGCTGTAAGGCAAGAGTACTAAACATTCCACTGCTGTCTAGAATCACATTTGATTAATAAAAATAATAATTTCAACTATTATTTTTATTAATCGATGATACCACACGTGGGAGATTCTTGTGTTAACAGCAGATCTGCTGCCCCCTGGTGGCACCAAGTATATGGTTCTCTCTACTCTGCTTGCAAGAATAACAAAACCTTAACATGGACCGGACACTCTGTGAGGTCACCGTGGTCCTGGCCATGGTTCTGTCCATGGTTCTGGTCCTCACCAGTGATGACCTGCAGCAGGGTCATGAAGGTCTCAGCACAGTCTGGAGCCTTCAGCTCGTCCATGTCACTGATGTCCTTGTACTGAGAGCTCCAGGCTCCCTCTGCTGACAACATGGCGTCCATCTTCTCCACCGCCACTGTGGACACAACAGGACACGATGGAGAAGTGTTAAAGGGGAGGGGGACGAGGGGGGGGGTGTAAGTCCACAGCACATACACCTGGACTCACTCTTTCTCTCCACCGTCAGCCACTTCTGGAGGACACTGTCCTCCAGCAGGAGGTGCAGCAGACCGGGCAGCCCTGCTGGGTACGAGTGGCTGCTCCTCAGCTCCTTCTCGAACTGCAGCACCTCCTCCACCAGGTGGGAGAAAAGTGCGTCGTCGTACAGCAGCCTGGAGGCGTCGGCGGCCACTTTCTCCTGCACCACAGACAAAAGGCCTCGGCACAGTTCCACCTGCACACACGCACACACACACACAAACGGTTTTTAGAACCGTGTCATGGAGACGACATCATCAACGGTTAAAGATGTAACGACGCATCGATACAAGAACGTGACAATTTTCATTGGTTGAAATAAAAAATGGATCACGCATCAAGACGTAAAGAGTAGACTGTTGTCATCTCACTGGTCATACCATGACACTACACACTCTAGGTGGCAGTATCTCAAAAAGTCACTAGTCCTTGGGCTTTTTCAAGTCACAGAATTCTTCTAAAAACTCATACCCTGGTGCTGATGTTAGCCCCGGCTCGGTCCACGATTGGCTGGATCTTCTCCTCCATGAAGGTGGTGCTGTTTCCCATCCACATCAGGGCCTGAGTGAGGTACCACTCTGGCTGAGAGAGGAAAAGGTTCTTTTCTAAACTTCATTTCTACAAACTCCCAGTGTTATTATTATTATTATTATTATTATTGTTATTATTGTCGTATGTCTCAGTCCGACCTTGCCGGGGTTGTTGGTCGTACGGTTGCCGTAGAAGTGATACCTGAACCTCTTACTGAGCGGCAGCAGCATAATCTGGACAGGTAAGCAGAGGGGAGGGGCCGGAGACAGGAGGGCAGCTGGAGACGCAGACTGAGGGGAGGTCTCTGACCTCTGACACAGGAGGTCATCGCTGCCAGGAGAGGTTAAGGCTGGGACACACATCGTGTTCTAAAGGTTGAGGAGGAGGAGGAGGAGGAGGAGGAGGAGGAGGAGGAGACCCACTCCCATTCACACCATCATGGTCAACTTAGTGTGAACAGTTCACACAGTCACAGCAGAAGGATACGAGGTCTGCAGGGCCAGCAGCTGGGTGACCACCAGCTCCAACTGGCTGCTGATCTCCTGGGTGTTGGCCGTGGGGGTCAGCGACTGGGCTGGAGGGGAGATAATGGGCCAGTGGAGCTGAGTCAGCACTTTTTCAAAGTCACTGCAAAACAGGACAATATATACTCAGTTCAATAACAAAAAAACAAAAAAAATACTATCTATCACTGTTCCCTAACCCCCGGGGCGTGGACCGGCACTGGTCCGTGGGTCAATTGGTACCGGGTCACACTGAAAGAATGGATAACTCTCATTATTACCGTTTTATTTATTATCTGATTCTCAACAATGTTTTATTTTGAAAATAAAAAACTTATGGCTTGGCTCGGTCACATGTTCAGTCACAATGTTCAGATATTTAACCATTCAAAGGTTGGGGACAGCTGTTATATATATCCCTCCTCCTCCTCAGTCTGTCGGTCCTTGTTCTTCTGTAGAGACTGTTCTCTACTCACCTGGTCAGCCGGGCCTTGATGATCTTATGCCAGAAGTGAAGCGTTTCCCGCAGGAAGTTCTTGAGGTGAGAACACTCCGACTGGTGGAGTCCAGCGTCCAAAGCTGCCATGGTGTCCACTGCTCTGATGGCCTCCCACACGCTGCTGGTCATCAGACACTGCTGTACTGTAGCACTGCGTCCACACAGTCACAGAGAGAGAAAATCACTGCATACCCAGAATAAGGACAACCACCAGAGGGCAGAGTCAAACATGTACCTCATCAACATCGTACTGTGGTGTTCAGTACCTGAGTTCTTCTATGTGTTGGAGGCAGCGTAGGTACTTCATGTGTCTCTCTATGGTGTCCACTTGGTCCAGGACCTGACCGAGACTGTCCATGCAAGGCTGGGCCTGCAGGAGGTGCTATAGGAGGCACAGGGCAATTATATATAGGATGACTATTATCACAAGTACAAATCCTTTGGGACCTCAGTGCAATTAACGTCAGTGGAATTAAGGTGGTGTATCGGCAAGAATCTGGCGATCGCAACACAGTTGTATCGGCAAGAATCTGGCGATCGCAATACAGTGCAACAATACAATATATTGTGATATATATTGCAATACTATAGTTGTTGTTTTAGACCCAGTGTGATCCTAGTCTCAGACTCTGTTCCATCTGAACATCAGTTCCTAACACTGGAACAGAGGGATCTACATTTGGAATCACTAAAGAAGAAAGAAAAGATCGCGATACTGTGTACAGTGTATCGATGTTCCGGTGTTCAGCGAGACAACGTTCTACCTGTTGCAGCGTGTTGGAGACGAGCCGCTCCCTCTTTAGCAGCTCCTCCACGGAACATCTGGCCTCCTCAGCAGCCGACAGGGCCGCAGAAACTTTGGGTGGTAGTGAGTTGGACACGGTCAGAACCTGAGGTCCAGAAAGGAAGTGTTTACAACGTTTGTAGAGGGATATGATGGACATCATTAATGAGAAATATACAGCCTCGGTCAACTGTGACCGCTCACTGTACCACGGGCTCCGAAACAAACTACTTAAAACAAGCTAATTTACAGGTTGGTTACATTAAAAATCGAAACTGTTTTGTGGAAGAAATCAATTTAAAACAAAATAGTGAAGCGAGATTATATTTTTCTATTATTAATAAAAAAAGGGACATTGTTAGTACCTTTAAAAGCGAGATTATATTTTTCTATTATTAAGAATAAGAAAAGGGACATTGTTAGTACCTTTACAGTGCAGTGACTCGAGTAGTAATAATAAATTAATACGTAATAACGGACTATTATTACTGTTAATAAAGATACGTGACGTACATGTTTCTACCGAAACTCTTCACCACATAAACAATCATTCGTACGCACCTGTTCTTCCAAAGCGATGTTTTCTTCTTTCAGCTTTTGAAGCAAGTGGCCAACATTCTTCAGGGACTTTAGGTCGCTGCCGACTTCTTTCTCCAGGAAATCCACAACAATGGACTGGACGTCCCCTGAAAGTGCAGGACTCGTCTCTGTGTCTGGACTGGTGGTGTTTTCTGGCTGTGGTAAATGGTTGTTTTCTGTCTGTGCTGTTTGCTCTGCTTCTTCTGGAGCAGCGGCTGTGAGCGCCGCCATCTTTCCTCTCCGAACGACGTTGTCAACACAACAGACTTCCTGTGGCTGATCAGCGCAGCGCTTGTTTAATCATCGGGCGTGTGCCGCTGGAGGTCATTATTTTGTCGTCCGCCTCACTGGATTTTTACAAATGATCCACCCAACGCTTTACATGCGGATAAGACGATGAGCAAAACAAAGTCACCTCCTACCAAAAACAGGCTACGTAGACGGCAGTTTTTGACGGAAACACGTCAAACAAGCACTTTAAGGTCTTTAATCAAACCAGAGCTCTCCAACCGTTTTTGTACGACGATATTCTCAAATACCGCTTGTCAGGGTTGAGAGAGAAAATGACTCGACAAATATTTTTAAAAATATAGATTTAATAAAAAATAAAAATCCATAACCTCCAACTCAGAACCAGTTCTAAATAAAAAAGGTGAATGTGTCACTTCTAACATAAGTAGTTTTGCAGTGACGAGTGTGTGTGTGTGTGTGTACGTGCAGATGTTATTGTCAACCATTCAAGACAAGTCGAGCACAGAAATCCTAACCTTTCCATGACTGACTAGTAATAATAACCTAATGACATCAGAGTAACCAAGGTGAAGCTCACTGAGAAATCAATCTGTGTTCAGGCTGCAAGTGATGGGTGATATTCTTGGAATTTCTTGGAATTCCTGGAGAGTTCAATGTTGAAAATACCGTTAAAAATAAAAGAAAATTAGCAACAGTAACTGCACATGATCCAGGTCAGCAGATCCAGAGCCACCCACAGGGATCTAACCCTCGGGTTCTGGAGAAATCTGAAGAACACATGGAAGAAGAACGAGTAAAGTCAAGATAATCAGTTACTACTGGGAATTTAACAATTGATCCTCTCACTGTAAGTGACAGCAAAGACACTACTTTGATATAATATAATATAATATAATATAATATAATATAATATAATATAATATAATATAATATAATATAATATAATATAATATAATATAATATAATATAATATAATATAATATAATA